AGAGACCCCGAATAGCCAGAGGAATGTTGAAAAAGCAAAGCAAAGCTGGTGGCGTCACAATTCCGGACTTCCAGCTCTATTACAAAGCTGTCATCATCAAGACAGTATGGTACTGGCACAAAAACAGACACATAGATCAATGGAACAGAATAGAGAGCCCAGAAATGGACCCTCAACTCTATGGTCAACTCATCTTTGACAGAGCAGAAAGAATGTCCATTGGAAAAAAGTCTCCTCAACAAACGGTGTTGGGAAAATTGGACAGCCACATGCAGAAGAATGAAACTGGGCCATTTCCTTACACCACACACCAAAATAGACTCCAAATGGTTCAAAGACCTAAACGTGAGACAGGAGTCCATGAAAATTCTAAAGGAGAACACAGGCAGCAACCTCTTAGAACTCAGCCGCAGCAACTTCTTCCTAGAAACATCACCAAAGGCAAGGGAAGCAAGGGCAAAAATGAATTATTGGGACCTCATCAAGATAAAAAGCTTTTGCACAGCAAAAGAAACAGTCCACAAAACCAAAAGACAACTGACAGAATGGGAGAAGATATTTGTAAATGACATATCAGATAAAGGGCTAGTATCCAAAATCTATAAAGAACTTCTCAAACTCAACACCCAAAGAACAAAAAATCCAATCGAGAAATGGGAAGAAGACACGAACAGACATTTTTCCAAAGAAGACATCCAAAGGGCCAGCAGACACATGAAAAAGTGCTCCACATCGTTCGGCATCAGGGAAATCCAAATCAAAACCTCAATGAGATACCACCTCACACCAGTCAGAATGGCTAAAATTAACAAGTCAGGAAAGGACAGATGTTGGCGGGGATACAGAGAAAGGGGAACCCTCCTACGCTGTTGGTGGGAATGCAAGCTGGTGCAGCCACTCTGGAAAACGGTATGGAGGTTCCTCAAACAGTTGAAAATAGAGCTACCGTCGATCCAGCAATTGTACTACTGGGTATTTACCACAAAGATACAAATGTAGGGATCTGAAGGTACGTGCACCCCAATGTTTATAGCAGCAATGTCCACAATAGCCAAACTGTGGAGAGAGCCAAGATGTCCATCGACAGATAAATGGAATTAGATGTGGTATATATATATATATATATATACCATGGAATATTATGCAGCCATCAAAAGGAATGAGGTCTTGCCATTTGCAATGACGTGGATGGAACTGGAGGGTATTATGCTGAGCAAAATAACTCAATCAGAGAAAGACATGTACCATATGAGCTCAGTGATAGGAGGAATTCTTAATCTCAGGAAACAAACTGAGGGTTGCTGGAGTGGTGGGGGTGGAAGGGATGGGGTGGCTGGGTGATAGACATTGGGGAGGGTATGTGCTATGGTGAGCGCTGTGAATTGTGCAAGACTGTTGAATCACAGACCTGTACCTCTGAAAGAAATAATGCATTATATTTTAATTTAATTATATATTAAATAATACATTTAAAAAAAAAGTAGAAAGGGAAAAATGAAGGGGGGAAATCAGAGGGGGAGATGAACCATGAGAGACGATGGACTCTGAGAAACAAACTGAGGGTTCTAGAGGGGAGGGGGTGGGGGGATGGGTTAGCCTGGTGATGGGTATTGAGGAGGGCACGTTCTGCGTGGAGCACTAGGTGTTATACGCAAACAATGAATCATGGAACACTACATCAAAACTAATGATGTAATGTATGGTGATGAACATAACATAGTAAAGAAAAAAAAGAAAGCAGCAGCTGGTTACAGACATGGAGGCAGGAAACCTTGGGTTTCAAACTGCGCTGCCGTCCATGGCTCTGTGGGCCTCAGTATACCCAATATGGAGAATGGGAGGATAGTACTCCTCCTAATAAGAATGCTTTAGATCTTGGTTTGCATCTGGAAAAGACAGCTGAGTAGGTCTGGGAAACTGAGGACTCTGCTGGAATTCAAGGACACTAGCACAAGAGGCGGACCGAGGCCAATGGAGGCTTTGAGGGCACAGCAGTATCTGGAAGTCACACTTCTTCTGAAGAATCAGGAGTCATTGCAAGACTCTTCCTAATCCCGATCCTGCCTCTCCTAGAAGCTATTTATCAGTACTGGTGAGCAGGCAACCTTCTCTAACAAAAAGCCAACTTTCCTGTCCAGACTGCAGGGGGCCAGGACCAGCAAGCATTTCCAGAGACATTCCCTGCGCAACTGACAGCACCTCAAGCCACGGCTGACAGGTTACTACTGCTCCTTGTAGCTCGGGGTTCACGGGGAGCCGGCATTTGAAGCTCCTTTTGCGAACGAGAGACAGAGGCGAGCGGGCAGGTTTTTGCTGGTTTTGATGTGCAACACGCCACTTGCCCCAACAGTCCGGATCACCCACTGACATTTCATGGCCTGTCTCCAGTCTCAGGCTTGAGGATCAGACAGTTTACTCCAGAGCTGGACAGAATAATTTGAACAGCACAAGCTGCATCTTCACAGAGACAGAAGCATTGCAAGGAGAACTCTGACTCCCTGCTAGAGCCCCGGGCTGGGTGTTTAGCTAAGCAACTTCGCCAGGGGTGGGGACAGCTTATTTTTCTCAATCACTAAGCTCTCTGCAACCCATTCACTCCCAGTCCCAGATGGTTACACAGACTGGCTTCTCACCATTCCGTCTCAGCCAGAGTCCTTGGGGGCCCCCCTCTCGTCCATGATACTCACTGAGCACCCACTACGCACTGCGTCCCATGCCTTGTGAAGGTGGGGACAGGCACTATTTCTGTCTCTGGGGCCTCACATTCTGAAGGCAGACACAGAGAAGGCGGCAGTTACAGTAACAAGTGTCCCCCAAGTCAGGCACTGCTGGATGACGTGCTCACCCTCTGGCTTTGGCTACAGGTCTCCTCTTAGACTGTTCTCTCACCTTCCTTGTGCGCCCAGCCCCCAATGCGACAGCCACACAGGCATCCTCTCCCTTCTTCACACACAGCATCCTGCCTTAGAGCCTTCGCCCAGGCTATTTTCTCTGTCTAGAACATTCTACCCTCCACTTTTCATTAAAGGACACCTCCTGAGAAAGGACTTCCCTCACCATCCCCTATAAAGCATCCTCTCTCCCTCTCCCTCTCTCTCTCTCTCTCAGCCCCACTGTAACACTTGCCAAAATTTGGGAAACTGCCTATTTATCTGTTTGGTTACTTATTTATTTCTGTCTGCCCTACCAGATTGCAACCACCAGTGAGCTGGAATGGTGTCTGTCCCATTCCCCACTGTCATGTTCTGCACAGGGCCTAGAACACCTAGAAATGTTCACAAACTGCATGCTGTACCAGTGAAGGAAGGAGGTTTTCTACAAGGAGTGATAATGGAGTAGGAAGGCAGCCGACTCTGGAAGGCTCTGTTAGTAAGGAGAAAGGGTCTGGGGTTTAGTTTTAGCAGGAAGAAAGATAGCCAAGCATTTTAGGAGGGGGAGACACACAAACAGACCTTTATTACAGAGTCCTCCCCATCTCTTCCGTCATGCAGAAACGGCCTTTGGGGGCAGGGGAAGGGCAGATAGGAGGTAAGGAGATCTACTAGGAGAGGTCTATAAAAACCAAAGTCCTCACTACTTAGTGTGGTCCAGCGACCAGCAGCATGGACACCACCTGAGAACTTGTTAGAAATGCAGAAACTCAGGCCCCACACAAGACCTGCTGTGTTGCAATGGGCATTTTAGCAGAATCTTCAGGTGACTGTTCACATCCCTGGAAGCTGGGCTTTAGGTGGAAGACAATGCTGGCCTCATCTGCCTTTGTGGAATGGGGGCTAGAACAAATTCATGGGTGCTCCCGAAAATCCACAGTTCCAGACATATTCAGGGTGCCAGCAGCAAGCCCTCCTACTGCAAACTATCTCAAACGGATTCCATCAGGGGCCAGGGACAGGAGGCCAAGGGGCAAGGGTGGGTGTGCTAAGCTGAGCTGGACTATTTAACCGGGATTTACTGACTGTGACCCTGGGCACAGAAGCTCTAATTCCCAGGGCAGGTCTGAGGCCGGGGACATAAGGATTCCCGACTCTGGCTGTGAAGATGTGTGAACTTTTTTTAACTTCCAAAGTTTCCCCAGCACCTGGCACAGAGTTTGGCACATAAGAAGGGCTCAGATGATACGTGTTGAAAGAATAAACAAAGAGTGGTTATGATGTTGAGGTCCAAAAAGCAGGTTACATGGGCCCAAGTACAAGCGAGATATACCTTCTGGCTTCCTGTTTTGTTAAACATATCCCCTTTGGTGAGAATCATGTGCAAATCTGAGAGGATACGACTCTGCTTTCAGTGAACAAAAATATATCATCTGTGCAACAGAGAATCAGCGGGAAGGCATGGCACAGCCTTGAAATAACCCCAAAAAGCCTCAGGGCACAGCAGGCAGGGAGGGCCCCCCACTAACCCCGTGGGAGCCCCATGGTGTAAAGGTTAGGATAGTGAGGGGCTCACAGGAAGAGACACTGGCACCTGTGTGTGCAGGGCAGGGAGGGCCAAGACAGGACACAGCCCAAGAGCCACCTGGTAGGGGGGTCACAGGGTGCTGCTGATAGCAACCGTCTTCAGCCCCAGAATCTAAACGCAAGGGAGCCTCACAGAGACAACAGGAGGAGAGAGAAAAGCACCGCAGCTCGAGCTGTGGAAGATGGGCGGCCACGTCCTACGGCAAACTCCAGAGACACCCACAGGCTCAGCTATAGGACTCGGATCTGCGGAACCACTTGCTACCTCACCTTCTCCAGGAAGCCTGCCTGGACTGACTTGAGGATCACACGCCACCCTCAGAACCATCCTTTCCCCATAGTCCTTGATCACTCCAGTTCCATGGGAGGTAACATTTGTATCCTGTCTCTTCGGCTAGAGAGTCTATTCATGCGGCAGCCTCTTGAGGGCGAGGCCCAAAGCCCACGGAGAGTCACGGGCCCTCGTGCTGGCACAGAGACTAGTAAGAACACGAAGACGTGGCATATTCTCGATGACAAAAAAAAAGAACGGAGATGACTGACCTTGGAAGTATAGGTGTGGCCATCGGAGCCACAGACCATGGCTGACTGCGCCGCAGGGCAGGGCTTGCACTTCACCAGATTCGAGGGTCCGACCCAGTGTTTGTGGGCCACGTTCCCCTTCTTTTGCCTAAGGATGGAAAGAGAGGGGATGAGTTCACTGAAGCTCCGGTCCCCACCGGTCTCACCTGCAAGTTGCCTGGATGAAAGTCCAATGAATCGACAACAGGGCTGGTCACACAGCCAGGCGCATCCTGGAGGCCTTCGCGAGTTTGTTCCCGTTTGTTCCAACGTGCTGACAGGGACAAGAGAGTCTGCTCCGAAAGCCCCGGTTCCACCCACCAGATGCGACCAGGAGAAATAATGGAAGACATGACTTAGTGACACGGAAAGACATTCGCAGCACGTTAAAAGAAACAATGAGGGAGTGGCTGCACCAGGTCCCCGAGCCCCTGGTCCAGGGTACGGCATGTCTGGGGCGCCCGGGCACGGCACCCCGGAGTTTGCACTCCTCCAGGGTTGATGGGCAGCCTTCCCAGCGGGCTGACACACACACAACTCAGAGGGCAGTTGAGACAGAAACGCATCTCCCAACACAACCAAATGACTTTATCACAGCTGTGGAAAACGATCTTTGGATACATTTTGAAGCAATTTCAGTCCAGCTTCCAATTTGCCATTCTACAGAGGCTCTGATGTGATGTCACTTTCAACTGCTAAAATAATCAGAATTCTACCCTCCCATTCTGGCTCCAGTTTCCCCCATCCTAACCTGTGTCATAATGACAAATGATGCTATTAGGATGGCCTATGTCCACAGAAGGCACCCCACCCCTGAATCAGAAGCCACTGAAATAAAGGCCTGCAGTGACTGCACCCTTCCTCTTGTCGCCCAGCTGCTTCGCCCCACAAAGCACGGGGAGGGACTCTACGGCCATGGGGCGAGCTGCAGCAGGAGCATGGGCCATCTGGATCCACCAGGTGATCATGGGGCCCTGCCAGCGTTTTTCCCTTGGCAGTGCTGCCTGGTGGTTAACCTCTGGTCCCTGGAGTCAGAAGACATCAAGTACAAATCTCAGCTCTGTCACTTACTCACTATGTGATCTTGGCAGGATATGTAACCCTGGAACTGTAAGTAAGCCTCAGTTTCCTCATCTGTAAAATGGGAGGGGGGGGAAGCAGAATCTAATTCAAGCCAGTGGCATGAGGATTAAATGAGCTGACGCATGTACTCGGTCTAATGCCTAGACACCAGAAAGCCATAAAAATGTCAGCTGTCGCTATTTCTTATTTGCCCCAATAACATAATGGGGTACAGAGGATGAAATTACCACTGCCTGAGCAATGTGACTTCATTCCAAGGCCCAAGACTTGGAATGGCATTTAACTCTCCAGAAGAACTCATGGGGCCACAGAAGGAAAGCTTTTCTACTAGTTACAGAATAAATCTCCAGCTCCATATGAATTTGGATTTGGAGTCTGAGGTGACCCACCCTCTTCCAAATGAAAGAAAATGATCTAGGAAGAGTTTTTTTTTATCCTACCTGATACCTGATTTTTATCCTTCCTTCAACCTTCCCTAGCCATATGGGGGAGGCAGTCCAAGGAGGAAGGTCTGTTTGGGAAACTACCTTTAAGATTGACCATGTACCCACGGCACAACCTTTAGTGCCATGAGGGGATGCCAGGCTGGCAGGGCCAGAGGGGTGGGCCTGTGTGACCACTGAACTGAAAAAGAAGGTCCCACAAGGATGCCATGAGATCACCTAGTCCAGCCTGCTCATCTTACGAATGGTGAGAAGTGAAGCCCAAGTTGGGTAAGAGCCTTGCCCAAAGTCAGGAAAACAATCAGTAGCTAGGACTATGATTATGATGACATTGACGCAGCTGCACAGTGACCAAGGATGAATCTCTCTTCTTCAAGCCCCTGTCAGCCCCACCTAGATTACTAACTTAAAACTTCTTTGGGGGCACCTACGTGTTTGTCAGGGGTGGTTCTCTCTCCAATGCTTCCCTGCTTCCGTAACAGCTGCCCACCTTGTCCTGGCCTCTCTGTCTGAAATAAAAACATCTCCATTCCTAAATCACATGGACATGAGGTCTCCTAGGATCCTTTGCCAAACATACCTGACTCCTTCGAGGTCTGCTCCAGACTAGAGAAGAAGGGAGGTTGGGTGACGGGACTCCATGCAGCGGCCAAGTAGGCTGTCAGCACGGGGTGAATCTGAGAGTCCATGATTCCTTCAGCAGAATGCCGCACACTTATCATCATTCACGCGGCAGACTGTCTGACATTGATAATGAATCGACAAACACAGGGAGCAGTTCTGGCATCTGGCAACCCCTCTCCTGGGTCAGTCCCCAGTGTTCATGGCCAATGCTGAAGCAATTCTTGTTATGAGTTCCCAGAAAGAGGCTATAAAGCCCAAAGAGTGGGCAGCTTTGCTGGAGCAGATATAATCACGTATAATGATGTCCCAGAGGAAAGAAGGAGCTGAACCAAAGAGAGAGGAGGGAGAAGTGAACACCGAGACAATGGCTTTGAGGAAGAAATGGAATCAGCTATTAAAAACCAGTTAATGACAGGCCATCCCTACCCCTGGACATTGAACTTCACTATTAAACTAAGTTCCTCATGAGGACACAAAGAGATGAGGCTGGCTGCTGCTTGCTAGTAGGCCGGGTGCATGATGGAGGCTCCCTAGATCCCTGGGGGGTGAGGGGGTGGGTCTCTATGTGCTGACCACCTCAGTGCTCACTCAGAAGTTCACCACAAAATCACAGACTGTCAGTCAGAACAAGAAAATACCTTAAAACGAATCTAGTCCAACAATTCTACTTTGTAATAAATGAGGAATGAGACACAGACGGGAAGTGACTTGGCCAGTGTCACACAGAAATACAGCAAAGCTACCTCACATGCATTTGTCAAAATGAAGTCATTCTGGAAATGGCGACACTGCTCTGGGACCATTTTAATTCCTATTTTGGCATCTGTATTTTCATCACCAGGGGTCAATCTTATAAATAAGACTCCTCTGAAACATTGTCCCTGGCTCTGCACCTGCAAAGGAGCGAGCTGAGCATACCCAGCATCGGGCGGTCATGGAGGCACCATGTCTGACCTCTCTCTCATAGGATGCCTTGGGGACTAGAGATAAAAGGCCAACCCAATCTCAATGTTCACATTTCCAGTGAAACAAGCCTACCTGTCATATTGGAGCAAACCCCGATGTTCCTTACCTTACTAGGACTCTGGTGGACATGGCACCCAAACCTATGGTCTCCATCCGGGGACAAATTATATAAAGTTATGTTACAAGTTTATGTGATCCCATGGAGGCAGAACTTCCCTGGCTACTGTGTGTATATTTCAATACCCACAATTCACCCAAACCCTAAAACTTAACCCATCCAGTCAAGGCAAGGGACTAAGTGTTTGGACTATAAGGTATTTCACTTCTTAAGTCCAAGAATGAAATCCTATGAAGGTGTCTTGATGAAACTGCTATACCCAACGCCACAGACATTCATCACCTGGCGTGACACAAGCGATTTAATCTGGGAAGCAGGTCCTGCCAGCCTTTCAATTGGCCATGAAGCCCTGATTCCACCGTGAGCTGGCTGGTGCAAGGGGCAGCCACACCTCCTACCCTACTGACAGCACCATAAAGAAAATCCCAACCAGAAAGGACAGCACACAGATACCTGGCAGGTCATGGGCACTTCTTTTTCTCTTGTGCTTAACTGCTTATTCTCAATCTTTTTTTTTTTTTAATTTTACCAAAATTCCCAGCATTTATGTTTCTGAAGCAGAGAGACGATTCTTAAGTACAAATCTGATGACATGACTCCCATACTTAAAACCTCCCTCTCCCCACCACCGCCCCCACCCCCCCCGGCCAGGGCACAGGCTGAACTCCTAGTTTTGGTATTACATTGACTGAGGCCTACCTTTGCAGGGTCAGTGCCTGCTACACACACACACCCCCACCACCCCCACCACCCCCACCACCCCCACCACCACCACCACGTGTTTCATGTGTTTTTACTCCAGCCACCCTCTGCTGCTTCCCAGAGCCCAACAACAAAATCTCTGTGCACCTGTACCACCATGTGGATTTTTTTCCTCCATCTGATGCATCTTCATTCCCACCCACATTGCTCCCCTCCATCTTCTCTGCCTCCTAAGGTGAAATTCTACAAGCCCCGGTTCACTACCTCCCTCCCCCAGTAAGTCTCCTGGGGCCCCTCCACAGGCAGTCTGGCTGCACGCCCATGCCGCCGTGGTCCTGTGATCACTTCCGGTCAGGCTCCCGCCTAGTCTCCCGTTGAGAACCTTGCTTCAACTTGACCAAATATAAGTGGCTACGATTATTCCAATAGGACGTGGGGTAGATTCAGGCTAAAAGCCTTGGAGCCCATCCTGGACACCTCCCCTTCGTGCCCTCACCACTTTCCCCCAGCACTCAGTCCTCCTGATCCAACTCCAGCCAGCCCCATGAGGCCCCTCCATGTTCCTTGTATGAGCCATGTAAATGCAAGTCTACACGACTGCACAAAGACTTTCTGCCTGCATGGTAAATGTCTGTCCCTTGTTCCAGCTTCAATCAACTGCCTTTCAAGACATCGCTCCTGAACCTGTGAGCCTGACCTCAAGGAGACTAATCATGACATTATTTGTGCCAACATTACATCTGGTTCAGACCCAGCTGTGACATCCACTGCAGCAGAAAGCAGTTCTTTTTGAGTCTGTCTTCCTCAGTGTACTGTGCATGCCTCAAGGGTAGACTGGCTGTCACCATCTTTGCGCTCGTGGGGCTGGGAAACATGGTCAACCCTCAACACATGAGTTTGTTCAGTGAAAAAGGTGAATTTATTAATCTGGACCTTTAGAACTTCCTCCTTTTATTTCTGGAAATTACCAGCACTAACTAGAAGACAGAACTAGTGTGCGGTTTTAAGCAACAAGAATTCAACAGACTCAGAAATCCGAAGTCAAAACTTGAAAAAACAACAATTAGCAAAAATTCTCTAAAGCCAACTGAGAAGTGTGTGGAGGGAACTCTGCTCTGCACGTCAGGGCTGAAGGCTCCTCCTGTTCCAAGAGGTCAGACTGCTTCCCAAGCT